TTGAAATGTGGCTCGTCTGAAGTGAGACCTGCAGCCTGCAAAATACACAGCTCATTTCAAAGACTCACAATGCAAATGAAAAGAACATACACTCTCTCGTGAAGAATGTTGTGTTAATTATATGTTGGAATCATGTTAGGTATTCTGGACTAAATGAATTATTAAAATTAATTTTGCCAATTTCAGTCAGCTTTGTAAGCTATGGGTCTAGAAAAATTTAAATTACTTGTACGACTGCTACTACATTTTATCGGGTGGCCCTGCTACGGAGCAAGCCTGCCCACCCAGCAATGGCTCCCCCAACACATTCAGAAAAGTCTCCAGCCTGGGCGGAGGAGGACGGCAGGTGTGGGTGCACGTCTGCAGGGGTGGCGAGGGGTGGGCGTGGGCTGCAGGGGCTGGTGCCTGCTCTAGTGGCTGCAGAGGCCGGTCACAGCTGCTGTAGTGGTCACCCAAGGGAGTCCTGTCCATGGCCTCTGAGCAGGCTGGGGTCACCACTGTGTGATAACGCGTCCTAGACCAGGAGGAACCAGGGTTGTGGCTGGGCTGGCAGGACCAGCCTGCAGGTCCTAGGGCCAGATAAGGTGTGGGGTGCACAGGATGCCCCAACTTTCCCAGAGGCTCTTCCCTCGAAGACTGCTAGACACCGAGCACAGTTACAAGATTTTGGGAAAAAACCACTCGGAGACTCTGGGCCGTGGCCTCTAAGCAGGGCCTTTTGTGACAAGTCGGGCACCATCATCTGTCAGATTCCACAACAGTCAAGCGGGAACATCGGGGCCAAGGACTGAAGAAATGTTCTGGGAAGAAAACGTACAGTGGGGAGCCCGTGTCTGGCATTTTGCTTAATGTGATTTTTTCTGCCATCTCAACTGGCTTAGCGTCTGGCTGCGATGTGACTGGTCAGGCTGGTACCTGGTTTTTAAAGACTCCCCTGTCAACCAGGACAGGCGAGCGGTGCTCCACGGCTTCCACTCGGTAGCATAGGAAGGCGGTGTTCCGGCCAGAGGCATAGCGAAGGTTTCGGAAGTGGAAATAGAATGTTCCTCGATATAACCCCTTCATCGGGTTCCTGAGGCACCAGAGAGAAAAGAGACAATGCAGACAGCGCCCCCCGGTTCCTCCAGGCCGCTGTCCTCTGAGCCCAGCTCTCTGCACCCCGCTGGGCGCTGCGCCTCCCCCAACCCTCCACAGCCCTGACAATGTCGTCTGCCTCTCCAGGCAGGGACATGGGGGACAGGGAAGAGGAGGGGACGAGCCCGGGGCAGCAGGGAGGGGCCTCCTCTCCCACCGCGGGCCCCAGCTCTGGTCCTTTCAGTGGGACACCCCCACCCTCCAGTATGCCTGCACATACTTTAGAAAAACGGAAAAGAGGAAAACAACCGTCCACCCCCCAAAATAGCTCTTAACGTTGTGGTTCAATTCATTCCTGACTTTCCACCTGTGCATGTTTTTGTTTTTGTTTTTGTTTTAATCAGAGCAACAGCCGAATTCACGGGCGGGCACAGGCTACTGTTCTGAGTACGCCTGTGTCTGAGCTCAGCTGATCCTGCCCCAATCCTGCAGGAGGCAACCCCCAGAGGTGGGGTCACCTGCCAGACCACAGAGCTNTGATGGCTGACCCAGGAAGAGTGGAGAAGGGGCCGTGCAACGTCCCTGGGGAAGGTGTAGCCCCTGAGACAGTTGGGGGGACCAGCAACGCTGCAAGTCCCCCCAAGGCAGTGGGTGTGTCCTGCCAGGCCCATTTCCTCGTAGTGACCAGAGCAGCCCCACACCCTGGACCAGAGCCCAGCAGAACTGAACCTCCCCTGCCAGAGCCCGTCCTGAGCAGGGCCAGGGAAGAAGGTCCCTCGGGCTCTGGGGCCTCCTGGCCTGGCCAGTCCCTGCTCCTCCCCAAATGCCTGACAATCCCTGACATCCTGACATGGTGCCTGTTCCCTGGCCTTCTTGTGGGCTCCACCGCGGCCAGGACAGGATCTCAGGACGGCCTCTCCTGCCTCTGTCTCGCTTCTGCCAGGAATACGCCCATGAGCAGGTGCTGCAGCCCCTGCCCTGTGATGTCACATAGGCCCTAATGCTCAAGTTGACCCGTTCTAAAGATGTTCTCTGTGAGAGTTGTTTTCAGGAGGGGAGTCCTGGGCACGGTCCTCAGGAACCTCTTTGGCCTTGGGCACACCTGACACCCCCTGGTCCTTGTGTAGACGCCTTTTCCTTCTGCCCCTGACTCCTCCTCAGGGACACAGAGGCAAGTAAGTGGCTGAACCTTGGAACCAGAGGTGACACTGGGTAGTGGGTCCAGGCCCTAGAGCATGTGACCAGTTTCCAATGTGGGCTTGTAGCCACCAAGCATGGAGAGTCACCTGAGCCCATGTGTCCATCTGACTTCAGGACAGAGCATCAGCAGCTGCAGGGACCAGAGGTGATAGGGACTATGGGACAAACATGTGCCACTGAGGGCCTCTACCTGAGACTGTGCCTGGACTGGGGAGGGCACTGACTGGATGCAGTTGGGCCGGGAAGGTCACCTGGTTACGCAGGCAGCCCAGTCGGACACACGTGTCACCATCCAGGAGGTCCACCTTGTAGCACAGATAGGTCTGGTGCCGCCCAGGGACCAAAGGGTCATTTATAAAGTTGTAAGTGAATGTGTGTTTCTCCAACGTCCTGTGAACAAAGGTGGGAGAAACCCAAAGACAGAGATTCCTCATAAGACCACCCCACACTCCTCCCCAGCTCCCCGCACTCCTCCCTGCTCCCCACACTCCTCCCCTGCACCCCACACTCCTCCCTGCTCCCCACACTCCTCCCCTGCACCCCACACTCCTCCCTGCTCCCCACGCTCCTCCCCGGCACCCCACGCTCCTCCCCTGCTCCCCACGCTCTTCCCCCGCTCCCCGTGCTCCTCTCTTGCTCTCTGTGCTCCTCCCTGCTCTGCATGCTCCTCCCCTGCTCCCCGTGCTCCTCCTCTGCTCTCTGTGCTCCTCCCTGCTCCTCGTGCTCCTCTCTTGCTCTCTGTGCTCCTCCCTGCTCCTCGTGCTCCTCTCTTGCTCTCTGTGCTCCTCCCTGCTCCGTGTGCTTCTCCCCTGCTCTCTGTGCTCCTCGCCTGCTCCTCGTGCTCCTCGCCTGCTCCCCACACTCCCTTGGGGTTCGCTTCTGAGGTCCAGGACCCAGGGGTTCGCAGCTGCTTCACCTCGAGGCCCGCACTGCCTTTTCTCTGTCCCATTTGGGCCTTGGGGGCCCGTCTTATGTTCTATTCTGCTTTTTGGAAAAGCTCACACAGTCTCTGGCCTCATGTTATTTCCTAAAATCTTACTTAAGTGTGAACGTAACCACTGGACGTGTTCCTGCGGCTCCCCCTGCAGCACCCTCCCCAGGCTGCAGCCCACGCCAGCTGCTTCTCTGGGAGGGCTGGGGGTGAAGGAGAGTGATGGGCTGGGGACTCCAGGGGCAGCAGGGGTGGATGGAAGGGGTGGCAGCATCAGGTGAGGGGTCACCCAAGAGGTCAACCCACAGAACAAAGACTGCTGCCCTCCCCACCCAGGCTCGGCCACAAAGGCCCTTGGTCACTGTCACGGGCTGAATTGGGTCCCCCCAATGCATGTGTGGAAGCCCTAACCCCGGTACCTGAGGGGATGAGAGCACTTGGAGACACGGACTTTAAAGGGTGACAAGTTAAAGTGAGGCCAATGGTGTGTCCTGACCAGACCTGACCGGTGTCTTACGACAAGAGGCAATCAGGACACAGAGAGACACGGGGGACATATGCGTACAGAGGAGAGACCATGTGAGGACACAGAGAGAGGGCGGCCCTCTGCAAGCCAGGAAGAGGGGCCTCAGGAGAAGCGACCTGCTGAGCCCCTGATCTTGGACATCCAGCCTCCAGAACCGGGAGAAGTCACTCGCTGGTGACTGGCGCCTGGTCTCGGGCGCTTATTAAGGCAGCCCTGGCAGCTACGGGTCACCTTCACGAAGGAGGTGCCTTCTCTGATAAGTCAAGGCTGCCTCGCAGGGTATTTCTCAAAGCTTCTGATTTTCATGCTTATGTGTTTTCGTGCCCGTTTATGTTCAGTGTAACACAAGATTCGGTTGCTATGTCGTGGTGGCAGGAGCCAGGTTAGGGGGGCTCCGAGGCTGGGGGGAAGGAGACGTTGGGCTGCATGG